TAATCAATAAAAATTATTTACGTGTTAATAATATTAAAATATATATTAATTTTATAATTTTTAATATAAATTAATTAAAAATATATATTTATTACACAAAATATAAAATAAACAAATTCTTAAGTTAATATTTTTTAATTTAAATAAATAAACTGATGTATCTAAACCGGAACACCCTTACCCAGTCGATTATTTTGTAGTAAAAATTTAACTGTGTGGTCCCGAAGTCGTGACCTTTTGAATCGCCACGTCAGAAGGAAGACGACAAATTTTGGTGGTCCCAACTCAACAAATCCCGATGACGTGGAGCGTATAGAGGGAAACAGAACATGACCAAAGGAGAAGGGACGCCTGTGTCTGAAGTTGAACTATCAATTCCCGGGGTGGTGGTACCTCTGGGTGAGTTTGGCTTTGGCCCCGTAACAAGTGGACGCGTGTTCAATTTTCATCACAATTGTTGCTCTTGTCGGATCTTGGAAATAGAGACGCGCCAACCTGTCTGATTCCGCTCGTTTTCCACGTGCCTCCCAAACAAAAAAAAACTTGATAGCATAATTCAGCCCCATGACTTTGGACGGTGGGGTGCAGAGAGTCGTTTTGGGCCGTATTTGTTCCTTGTGAACCACATTCTCCACGACTTCGCCAACCCCCACCCACCCCACACCATAATTTCCAGAATTCTTGTTGCTTTTTATGACACTAGGAAAAAACAAAGAAACGAACATTTTTATATATGATTCTAGTATATTTTAAAAGAAGCATGTAACCCACGTATGAATACATGAACGTATGTGGTCCTCTGCGCATAAATAATCCACATACTACGGCAAAAATTAAAAAAACATTATCACATTAAAATGATGCATGTTATCCCGTGACTCACATAATAAACAAAACTATTGACTCATTCGTACAGATCTTGTACAGAGAGATGGCATGACAGGGTATGTAATTAGATAAAATTAAGTCGTGTAAGTTATCCTGTGGGGTGTAAGATTTTTTTATTTGCGGGGGATGTGTCTGGTGCTGCAGTGGAGGAGGCAAGCCACACGTGTGTTTCCTGAGGGCGAGGCCGGATCACGTGATAAACTCTCCTTTGCACATGTAGAGATGGGGTGGCGCACTGGTGTGGGGCAGCTGGTCTGGACGATAAATGGGAAACACTGAATAAGAAATGTAAAATAAGTTTAGAAAATCAGGACCTTCTGACGTTAAACGTCTTATTACAGCATTTGTTAAGTGAGCTTTATTTAAGAATTTATTTAATGAATGATTATGTCA